GCATGAGCTCGGGTATAGTTTATCTGATCTCCTGTAAGACGTGCGGTGACGAATACATTGGCGAAACGGGTAGACCCCTCTGTGTCCGCATGAAAGAACACCTAGCCGGCAAACATAGACCAAATACCCCGCTAGGCACGCATAGGACCCAGAGACATAACGGGGACGACTTCGAAGTATGTGTCACGATCCTCGCACGCGAATCAAGAACACAGGCGCGAAAAACTCTCGAGGCACTCTGGATTAATTCCAGAAATCCGAAAATGAACCGCAGGGAAGAATGCCTCATTATCACGCGTGATATAGGGCAGTATATAAAACTGCTTTTCTGTTGTGAGGGGCACACTATACTTCCACGTGATTTCTGTGCGGTTGGTCTCTACGTGACATAGTGGAAACCTCATAGAAAGCGGTGAGTGTGCAAAGCTGTGTTCAAAGTGATTGAAATCTTGGTTTGGGGTTTCTTTGTTTGGTTATGGAGGCGTCTGGCCGAGTGGATTGCTATCAACTTGACCTTTCCAGGCTCTGAGGAAGGCGAAATCCGCCGAAACGTCAGCTTAATCGTGAATAAAGAATAATAACACCTCGCGTTTGCTCAACAAAAATACGAACAAAATCACTTGATCAATGCCGAGGTTAGTAGAAAGTCGGTCGTGGCAGTCTCACTTGTTTTCTAACGATAGAAAAACATCGGGAGAGCGGACGAAAGTCGTTTCTGACAAGTAAGGCCCATTTCGAACCGATTAGAGATTAAGATCTTCTTATAAATACACTTCAGTGCTCCTCAGGACACTACGCAAACACGCAGTAAGGGATTCGTGAAGTTTGTTTCACTAAAGGCAGCAATAAAATCGCGTGGGTGAAAAAAGTAGGGGTCACATCAATGGCTGATTACTGCGTGTTTCTCCGAAAGATGTTATTTCAACCCAAATATTTCTGGATATGCTTCGTTCGCCCAGAAATTTGAGTCTTCAAATAGCTAATTTCTTTGGCTTATGCCACATATAGCAATGGTTTATTTGGGAAATAAATGGCATTCGGTCTGACGAAATCCTGTTTGTTCAATTGCCTTGCTCTCTGAAAAGTAGATCTCAACGGAAACAAGCAAAAACAAATGATTTTTAGTTGTTTTTGCGAGCGAAAAAGCCGAGTCGATAGGTTACCGGGAATTATGAAGACGAAGGCGTCGGGACGTTAGCCGAATAAAAAGATTGCTTATAAAAGAATATATATTGATTAGTCATACCAAAGCTAGAGGATAGTCGTTGAAATACGGCCGTAAAAAATGTTACCCATGCCTTAGTATACGCTGATCATGAATTTTCGAACAATATTTTCGCAAATTCCGACAAATTCTTTCAATTTTGTGGAGTTGAACTTATGTGGAATCGTGGAATAGCTAACTGCGAGCACTTGCCGGCGTTTGCAATCAGAGTGGTTCTTCCTGGGAAGTTTTGTACCGACGGGCAGTTTCCGGAGGGATGGGCCCTCATGGATTCTGTATGGGGTTAAACCAGCGAAGTGTACTGCGTACATCTCTACCCACTGCGCTTCCCGCTCTCTCTAAACCTTATTCCATAAAAGAAGAATGCCGAGACTTGAGTAAAACCCGGAACCACCGATAGTCCCCAAAGCCGTGATTATTCTTAGCAACGACCCACGTGCAGAGTAAAACCACGGCGTCGATAGCGTAAAAACATGGCTGAGAGAAAGGCAAAACGAAGACTTCAGTTGGTGTGATGGATAGCACGTGAGCTTTCGGCAAGGTTGATCACTGGTTCGAAGCTCCACGGAGGATCCGAGTTTTAATTACATCTTAGCAATCGTGTGGTTGTATTCCACATAATGCCCTGCCATGAAAAGGTGGAAAAAAGATAGGCAATAAATAAAATTCGCGACATTGCGGTTTCTTCTCAAAAAGTTCGTTCATTTGCCGCTTTTCTTGAATACTAACAACCGACAAATTATCAGCAGTTAACGTATTCGCAAATATGTTGAACAAAACCGGAAAGATCAACTAAATCTTTCTCTTTCTAAACATGTTGACCATGTTTCCTACAGTAGAATTCCAGGAAATGAAGCAGCGCTTAAGTCGAACGTCCATTTCGTCTGACATGGATATCGATCGGATCACGAAGGAATCGAAAACGACCACAATCACTGAGGCGAGGGAGACAATATATTTTCGACCTCGTCAGGTATACACCATTGTTTTGGAAAGAAAACTGCTCCACTTGATTTTCTTTAAGAGTTCCTCGAGAAAAGACGGAACTGCTTGTGTGTTGGACGCAGTGCCGGAAGTGAAAAGGCTTTCGATCATGGATTCGCAAACTGATGAGAAGAGGTAACCGTTCCGTACTAGCAGTTCCTCCAGCAATACAGGACTCTTGCCATAGAATGGACGATCAAATAGTATGAATTTTTGATATTTCGAAATCTGATTTTCTTTTAACCTCGGTATGGCTAGCCAACTATTCTTTTATTGATGAGGCAACACGAGTTTGGTAAACAATTTTATTCGGCTGGCATTTCGACGTCTTGCGATGTTCTTTTATATTGGCGGGTGAGGTTGCCTCATTTGGGCCGTACTCCGGTGAAGAACATTCGACTTGATGCGATGGAGAAAACTCCACATCGAGAGTACGAACGACTGTGGACCGTCGACTTGGATTATCAGCTCTGAGCGGGATGAAGACGTCGAAACGTTAGCCGAATAAAACTGTCTGTAAATCTCTTGCTAGTTTTCCATTGAAGGAATACATACGGATTTTTAAATCCTCTTCTTTTCCACAAGCGTAATGAGCAATTTTGAACACCCGTTTAACAGTTTTCTTACTATGCTCTTGACACTTCTTGTAACCAAATTGTTAACGTCCATTCTCTGTTCCACGATCTGCTTTGATAAGTCAAAACTTGAGACTCATTCCTTCACTTGCGTGATACAGGAACACTTCCAGCGTTTGGTATTTTTCCTGCTTTTCGTCCATGTTTTCGATGCATACCTTAGGACAGGACGAATTCCATGTTCTAAAGGGCGTCCACGAAATCGGTGTCTTTTGCCATCCTCATTACATCCTCCTTGCTTTTGAAAGCTGCTCATAGTTGTTGCATTCAAAGGTATTCATTCCGCTGAGTGTGAATTCCGTTGTGAGCACAACACTGTTAGCAAAGCGAAGACAGTGTAACTGCCAACCATCGATTTTCACTCAAATATTATCTCATTTCAATTTTCGGACAGGGTTCTCGATGGTGGCTGTAAATAACTTTAACGAGATTTGTAAAATGACGATATTCTAGGTGTGAAGTTGCTACACAGCTCTTCAAAAGATCTTTATGCATATGCTAGGGATGCCTTAGCGGTCCATAGATTCCACTGTTCAACACTAGACTCGAGCGAGCGGATCCAAGTGTGTCTCCACTGGTCTTTGCCAAGCATTCGAGCTGCAAAATTGCTTCCGTTGCTCGAGTTACGCGAGAAATCTCACAAATCTGTGCGCTCTTTTTTATCGAGAAGAAACCATTAAGTAGTAGCAAGTAAGCATTTGACAAGGCATGAGTTTGCCATCGTCTAGAGCTCCATTTGGCAATGTCGTACTCTCTTGCAAGTCGCCTTGCCAGAGTTGAACTCTCTTCCGCATTCCACACTAAGACAACTAGGAACATGTCCTCGCCAATGCGAAACGATAAGCCATTAATCTCGGATTCGATGGCCCACGAAATTTAGTAAGAATTCCATTTCTGTATCCTACCAATTATGCAATGGCCGCGCGGTTAATCGGAATATTCAGCACCTTTTAAGATAATTCAAGCAACGAAAGGCCTTTGTGGAATTTTTATTCGGCTTGAATTTCGGCTCGTTCTTCTTCTTCAAAGCCGCAATAATTCGAGTAGATTGTCCACAACGTCCGTCGTCCTCGTGATGCGGTCTATTTTGTCGGTTGCCGCTGAGTGATCAATTGTTCTTTAATGATGTTTTTTCTGTAGGCAATTCATCCTGTTGTAGTCAGTGTTGGATTAGCTGGCCCATGACGAAGTACTATTTTTCTAAACCGATACGAAGATCTACTAAGATCTAGTAATACGAAGATCCATATTGCAAGGGTAAACGGCCGTGGACACTCGACTCGAATCAATCTGACTCTGAAGAAGGCGAATGCGCCGAAATGTTGCCACGCTCAAAAATTTGTAAAAATCGCTTGACCTGATCGATCTAAAAATATATTAATTATTTATCCCAAGGTCAAGTAAAAGTCGGTTTAGAGAAGTTTTCCAAATATGAATATTAAAAAACCCAAGTCCGACTTTCTATTAACCTCGGCATTGATTGAATATATAAACATATATTATTATGCATATAACATATATATTAACCATACATATAACATATTATTAACTTAACATATATTTTAAGAATATTAATATAATGTAATATATAAACCTGTTATTCTGATGGGAGGGGCACATTACGCTTCCATGTGAATTTGGTGCTGTCGGTCTTCACACGACATACTCAGTGGGAAATTCATAGAAAGCGGTGAGTGTGAAGAGCTGTGTTAAATGTGATTGAAATCTTGGTTTAGCGTTTTCTCTGTTTGGTTATGGAGGTGTTTAGCCGAATGGATTGCTGTCAAGTTGACCCTTCCAGGCTCTGACGAAGGCGAAATCCGCCGAAACGTCAGCTGCTGCGTAAATAAAGAAATAAAATAGCACCTCGCGCTTGCTGAACAGAAGTAGAAAGATATATTAAAAAACCGTCCGGAAAACTATGCCTGTTTATCGGCGAACAAATGAACTCTGACTAAACGCATCTAATAGCATCTTATTTACCATATCCTACTCGGCTCTTGTTTTATATGGTCTCAGTCCTAAAAACAAAACATGAGAAAATGGAAAATAAACTAGTGCAGAGAAAAGTGTCATACAAAACTTGGATTTTTGCTGCTAATAGAGTATCGAAATTTGGCAAGGAAGGTCAATAGGTAGCAATTGGCCGTTGCTTGGGCCGTTTTTCTGCAGTGTTTAGAGTGCATCGTCATGGCTGCAGGTGTTGTTGTATGTCAGATCACGATACACTAGCCTACGTAGACTCGTCGCCAATAACGCTTTGCAAGCTCAGAAAGTGTTCCGTTTCTTCATTCGAAAAATGGATTAACTGTAGGCCAGTACTAGAAATCACCAACATGCTGGCAGAAACCTACTCCCAAGATGGCCACTCTAATTCATAAAAACGATGACGACGTCTTCAAGACGCTCGTTGGAAAGGCTAATCAAGGAAAACATCTAACAATATATATCAACATTTAGTAAACTAGCACCAATGCCCTTAACCCTCACGCCTACGACGTCATTGTTTTTACTTCAATGAAAGAATAGGAAAATCAGCGAAAGTTAGTAGAAGATTGGAAAATTTAGAATAGGATACCTAAATGGGATAGAAAAGCATCTTGTTGTATTTTGTGCAGCACGCTCATTTTATGACAATTCACTTTTTAATAATAAAATCTGCTTTATAATGCATAGTAGTTTAGCTACACTCTTGTACGATAAGATCACATCGTAATAAACAAGAAATGGTCCCTCTCTGACACCTCCTTAAGGCCATCATTTGGCCATGCTCTACGCGATCGTTGGTACACAATTTTACACATTTTTTTACACAATTTTTACACGTTGGTACATAATTTTTTAGCGAGAATTTAATAAGGAACTCGTACGATCAGCCAGTAAGGAAAAGATAAGTCTGGTATGACAGAAAGGTCTTAGACTGAGCTCCTTAGAAAATTGGGACACTGAGGATGACTCAATTTAGAGACAAGAATTTGTCGCCGAAGTGTCCATCTACACCATCAATAAAGGATTGTCCTGGAATAGAAGACGCTGGAACGAAGTCGAAGTTTTGCAAACGTAAAACCACTGCATGGAATTCACAGGTGGAGATCCTTTAAGGGAAACGTTCCGTTGACAGTATATGCAGCAAAAAATCTTCCCAATAACTATGAGTAAATCCACATTACGGATACAAATGATTTATGGATCGCAGAATAGTAATTCCGGATGTCATCATATCCAAAGAGATCACCACGACGCAAGACCCTCATTGAGGAGCTGGAACATTAGAAATGATTTAGCTGATTATTTTCTTTTCTGGTCGTTGGTATTCCGTACCAAAGACTGCAGGTTACTGTCCATTCAGAACACATGCCGGTTTCTAAATCAGGTTACAACAATGTTAGGAAAGCGCGAAATAAATAGGAATCAGGTACCGTTGTAAGGAACAACCAAATTTCAGGATGCAACCTGAATTTCCAGTTTCTGAGGTGGATGGTAGTGGAACAGCGCTAAAGCAGAAGGCGGTGAGAACACAGATTTCGTCATGAATTTTTCTAGTCTGTAACTGCTATAAAACAACGGGAACAAGTCTTTTTACCTGGGTTTTTTCTTTCTAATTTTGTTACATATTCTGTATTGCGCATAACATATGAATAACGTTATATAGACCGACTCAACTAATGAATTGGTGGCAAATTATGAAGCTCTCGAGAAGGAACTGAAGGATATCAATGAGACGAACAACGAACTCAGAAAGAAATTTTTCAAGAACAAGGTTTACATTGAATTCTTTTCTTCTTCGGTCCACAATGGTAGATGTTGCAGAACGAAACGCCTATTCTGGGTACTCCTTCATCAGGACCAGTAGTCTCTTCGCGAATTCAAGAATGGAACTGCTCGAGGTGACGCTTGGATTGCGTTTATTCTCCAAATGTAATTATGGGAAAAATATGACAAAGTCGAAGGAAAATGACTTTCAAATTGCTTCGGTTTCGAAGTTACCATAGTCACTAAAATCACAACCAAACACTTAAATAAACTTCGTATACCAAATTACGCTTAAAATCCTTGTCTGAAGATTGAATTGTAAGATCAAGTGCTCAATAATAATAGTAAAAAAATTCTCTGTGAACTTTTGCAGCTCGAAGCCAGTGGGGTCAATGACACGTGAGAAGAAGAAGCTTTCATTTATTACACCTACATGTGAATTGAACAACGAAGTGAGTGACCGACATTTCCAAAATTTTTTTTTCGCTTAAGACTAACGCTTTGCAAAGCAGTCTACTTATAGTGCAAACTTTCAAAATAGCGCTGAATTTGCCTTACCAAAGCAATCGCGTTCCCTAGCCACAATTTTGGTGCTGATAACCGATATTCGCATTCGTATACAGTAAATTGCTGAGAAAGAAAACAGGCGGAAATGCTCAAATCGTTCGGTATGCCCAAAGCAAAGCCAATCCATGCTTTTCAACCATCGTTCTTATGAAGTCTTGCGCATAAAACTGAATGCGAAACCTTTCACAGGCATAAGTAGTTCAGTTCGCTATGTAGGCTCTTGTTTCAGAAAAGCGCTGCAGTTGTCCAGTTATCGCCGACGCAAGACAAGCAGAATGATTGCTCCTTTAACTACATCGATAGGAAATAGGAAAGGAGGTGTGAGATGGATAGACATAGAAACAACTTGAATAAAAAACAAAGAAGAAATGTGATTTAGTGACTGTTCTAGAGCCAATGTCGGATATGTAATTCAATTTTTCATATGTTCTAACAATAGTTTCCTTTCAAATGCTGGACAATATCACTGAAGTTCACTTTGTGCACTTTTGCTTCGTTCAATTGTATTGTGATAAAGATTTAACTTTTTACTAATTTGGGAGATTATAGTTAAGATAAAGAGGCAGCGACTTCAATACGACTACTTCCAAGAGTCCAAACTCGGGCAGTCCAGTGCGGACAGCGCAGGGTAAGTGATGGGACCTTTACCGATGTGTGATGGCAAAAAGGTGTGAACGAACGCACAGTGCTGCATTTGTTCCGAAAAATTCGACGTGTCGAACTCGATCTTGAAGATGATAAAAGTTTAGCGTAAGCAACTGCCTCAGAGCGTCGAAAGAAAGTCGGCAAATGGACGACGTACGAAGTGCATGGTCCTTTTCGCAACACAACCCGCAACAGCGACGCTGCGGAAGTTGAACGAGCTGGGTTGGGCTACGGAGCTCTCCCTCATCCGCCATGCCCCTCTTTTACCGACTTGCCGTGCGCCTCGCTTACCAACTACCTCTTCCTCAGGCATCGTTACAACTTCTTGCGAGAAATTCTTCAGAAACCAAGCCGAGAACTGATAAAAACTGATTTCAACGACTTTATCACCTCCAGAAGCGAACAAATTTATTTAACTGGTGCAAGTAAACCTGTCTCTCTTTGGAAAGAATGTTTAGATTCCATTTGTTGTTATTTGGTGCTTCGCTGTCGTTGTCGTTGTTGTTGATGTTGTTGGTCGATGGCTGACGTTTCGGCGACTTCACCTTCCTCAGAGCCTAGACGTATTTTATATTAGAATATTTTTATTATTCGGTAAAGAAAAGGTTAAAGTATTAATGAGGATCAAACTTTCAAACAGACGCCATATTGAACAGAAAGGCCACTCACCGCTATGTAACACGTGTAGGACTGGCCCACGCATTGTTTTCGTGGGGTATTAGTGACGAAGGTGGAGAGTTTGTAGTTATTCCTAGTCAGTTGGATATTAAAATAACAAAAGAGCACCTCAATAATGTTTCTCTCCATCGAGCATCCTCTGAAAAGGAATATAGAAACCAATACCGGAGATTAAGTCAAGAATGGGTCAGCACGGCAAAGGCGGCGGGTTTAGAGCCTTCGGTTATTACTCGACTTAAAACGAACATCCAATTTGCCCTGTCCTTTATTTGCTTATTAAAACTCATAAGCTCACTTCAACTGATGATATTACATCAGCGAACCCATCATTGTTTAAAGTTAGACCTATCATCAGTTGTATAGGCGGGCCAACGGATAGAATAACGTGATTTCTAAACCTTATTCTGATCAAGTTTCTAAAATTTATTCCAACCCATCTACCTTACACCATACCAACGTGCCCAATGACTCCGCAATGCAAGTCATTCTCGAGTTGCTCGTAGAGCACAAAAAAAATAGAAATGTACAGCTTGTCGATTGCGCAACTAATAACTCTTAAAACTGTGTCTTAGTTGTTCAATCTTCAGGTGGTCTGGAAAACATTTTGCACAAATTAGAGGCTTGGCTATGGAACAGCGTTGAGCACCAAGCCTTGCCATCGCTTTCATGTCTAAGGTGGAAGCTCCAGTTCTCGATCACCGTCTCTTACTCTACTACTGTCGATACACAGTCGACCGCTTCATCGTCTGTTCCACACAAGAACAGATGGATGAGTGCATTGAACTGTTAAACCGACAGTCAGAGTATACAAAATTTACACGAGAAAAACCAACGGAGAACTGGCTTCCATTCTTAAACATACAAATGAAACCCTCAGAAAGTGGTTATTTAGCAAAATGGTATAAGTAAAAACATTCTAGTTCACTACCTTTCCTCTCATCTTTTACACATGAAAAAGCACTTATTAAAAACGTGCACTGTACGGCTAAAAATGCGTGCACAGGAGAAGAAGAAAGGAAGGAATCGCAAAACCTGGCACGAAAAATTGCCATTTCCAATGGCTACGAAGTAGAAGCCACTCGGGTAAGAGGAAAACGTAGGGTAGTTCCCTAAAATAATGTTTCGGACGTAAGTAAGATCCCCTTTAGGCTACACTTCATATCAAATGAGGTAAGTCACGCCATTAAAAAGTGCTTAAGTAAAAGTGGCCTTGAAAATGATGTAACGATTATAGACAACCCACCCAATACCCTACGCCGTCAGTTAGTTCGAAACCGTCTCTATGATCGTTTGTGCAGCTCAGAAAACTGTATGATCTGTCCTAACGGGAGAGACGGGGTTGCATGAGTTTAGGTATAATATACTTGATCTCATGTAATGCATGCGGCGAGGAATATATCGGGGAAACGGGTAGACCACTTTGTGTTCGCATAAAAGAACATCTGGATGGAAAAGCTAAAATCCGTTTAAACACTCCTCTAGGTAAGCATAGGGCACAAAAGCACAACGGCGATGATTTCGAAGTGACTGTGCGGATCGTAGCACAGGTATCGATAACATCAACGCGTAAAACTCTTGATGCGTTTTGGATAAGTTTCAAAAATCCAAAGATGAACCGGAAGGACGAATGCCTCACTATCACGCGTGACCTGGCGCCCTATTTCAAAATGATATTTTGACCCCGAGATCTCTCTTGCTCGCGACCCTACGAAAAAAACGCGGGGGCCAGTCTCACACGTAACATCACGGTGGGTGGCCTTTCTGTTCAATACGGCGTCTATTTAAAAGTTTGTTCTTCATTAATACTTTAGTCTTTTTTCCATCGAGAAATAAAAATATTCTAATATAAAATACGTCCAGGCTCTGAGGAAGGCGAAGTCGCCGAAACATCAGCCATCGGCCAGCAACATCAACAACAACGACAACGACATCGAAGACCTGTACCAACCTCGCGTCAGCTTAAGAAGATCAATTTATAAGATCACATAAATAAATATATCAACTATCTATGCCGAGGTTCATAGAAAGTCGGTCTTTCGAGTTGTTATTTGGGTAAATAAAGTTTATTCTAAACTGATACATATGACTCTGAAAGCACACGTTAAATCCGACATTAATTTTTGAGGAATTTAATATTTGTGCTCTCTGCTTAGTGGCACTACGTGTAGACGACGACGTTGCGTTGCAGATTTCTTTATCGACGCATCTCTGAAGGATTCCTCTATTTTATAACAGATGGCCTTGAATGGGAAGCGCTTATTCAATTTAGCTACTCCAAGCTACGTCATGTCTGATGTGTTAACTTGCGTCAGTGGATCATCAATTTGCAATGGAGGATTCCAATGCGCATATTAAAAATATACCTATAGAAAGGTACACAGAGACAGATTTCTAAAAGAGCAATAGAAGACTTGAAAAAGTGGCAGATTAATTAAGAAATCGATAAGCTAAAGATCAAGCTGTGAAAGACTAAAAGTCAAACATAACTGCTTCTAATGGTCGGACAACTTTTTGTCTGCTGGCCCGCCAAATTTCACATGGCAATCTTACAGATATATGCTTCATTTTTTGACTGAATTGTTACCCGGCAGAGTCATGATAAGGTGCTAAGGTGTTGCACAGAACTTATCTTCAACTGTAATAGACAACAGCGAAAAACACGTAGTTGATACGAAGTAGAGTTTTTTATTGTTGATAATGACAGTGCACACGTAGACGTATTTCATGATGGAGAGGTGGATAATTGTTCTCCCTAAGTGCAGAAAGCAGCCTGGTGATATCAACGCCTAAATGATACCCATTACAAAACGCGGCTGGACTAACAAACGCTGAATGAGCTTCATCGACACTGTATTTATGATCTTCAAGGAAAAGTCCACTTTCACAATAGCTTTTCGCAGACTATAAAATAGTTCAGCATTTCCACTGGAAAGCCCAGGCTTGAGTAAAAACAGTAAAATAAGGAATTCATACAAAAAGCGTGATGCATCCGTGAACGAGTTGGCCCAGTACTCACTCCTGGTCCACGACAGCTTATAATTGAGACCTACCAGCCACTAATAGAATTGTTCGATTACTAACGAGATAACAGTTGTCACAGGCAGTATTAGTGAGCACCAGATTAGCTTCTGTTGACAATTCTTGTGCTTTCAAAATTCGAGATCAAGGTATATGAGAGGCACAGAAAGCGTTGTGGTTGAAGGTGCTATGTGGTACAAATGTTTCACCCCATCCTTAGCCAACCACTCTCTTACCTCACTAATATTCTCAGGATAGGTAGATTGGTACCAAACTCACGTAACTGGAGTTCCTGCAATGCACAAGGGTTGTGAGCCTGATTGGAAGACCTAGGAATCTTGTGGTATCCTGAGTATCTCTGGATTTTAACTACATCATCATTTCATGACATTCGAAATGGCGATATCCTCACATAGTGGAAAACAAAGGAAATTTTGGAGATACTGTTGGATGATCGATGCAAGACAACGAATTGAATGAGAAGTGCTGCGAACGCACAGATTGTGAGGACTGGTCAAATGAAAAAATGGCAAATGACAGTAACAAGCAAACATGAAATTTTTTTGAAGACGCACGTGGGGCGGATTGCGAAGTGCTAATTGTGCTGTTCAACGCGTGTACTGCGTTGCTTCGACTCCGTGCTGGGTTCAACAATCATGACATATCGCCGAAGTCGAACAACTTGTGCAGTCTCATTCAGGACCAGCTCACGTAGAAGAGACCTAGCATAACTATTCCAGAATTCCAATGGAAGCAACAACTAAAATTAAACGATATTCCAAACGCAAACAACAGCCCTGCCGAGCAGATGGGCCCATACAGAAAAAATTTGAAAGCCTTCATGGATTCCAGATGAGAGCTAATGAACGCAGGAAATGATGAAACCGGTCCTAAACTCACGCGAACCGCCCTTAGTGAACACGCCGACCAATAAACAACGTGTTCCACTGCGTTGAGAGGCGGCTAATGTTCACAGTTAAACTTCCTCTCTATGCAACGCTGGATTGACCTATAGTTTCGCTGTATACGTATTTGCGTCCATGCAAACGGACGAGTGTTTTTTTCACCTTTGCCGATCAGCAGCGAGCGTTAAATTGTGAAGCACATAAAGGACAATAGGGGTCTTTAAAAAACAATAAGAGCTTTATCTATTCCAAGTATGCCGAAAAAGTTAGCGGTTAGCCTAATCAGCTTTTACGACGTCTCAAATGTTTTCCTGTAGAGAGCCTGTCTCCGAAAATGGTAGCTATGAGGACCTCGTTCAAAAAAGTGATGCCTTTTCCCTCCCATGTCAAACCTACCGGTAGCCTTTCTGTGCGACACATGCCAGTAAACAAGCATATATCTTGAGAAAGAACGATAATGGCCGTTCCCTTCTTACCACTTTTAAATCTATAATATATCGGTCGTTTCATGTTTTTTTCTTCCAAAAATATGTTTCTAGGGAGCCTCAGCAGGCCAGATCTGGCCAAGCACAACTCTACAAACATTCAATCAATGCCGAGATTAATAGAAAGTTGGACGTGGGAGTTACTCTACAAACACATTGGCGACGAAATGGGTCATATTGACTCACGTATGGTCATCCAAGCTAGCAGGAATAAGTCATATATAAGTTACCTTTCTACTTCTGTTCAGCAAACACGAGGTGCTATTTTATTTCCTTATTTACGCACAAGCTGACGTTCCGGCGGATTTCGCCTTCTTTAGAGCCGCTTTCTATGAGTCTTTCACTGAGTATGTCGGGTGAAGACCGACCGCGCAGAATTCATATGGAAGCGTAATGTCATATATAAGTCTTCCTCCTCGCCCGCTTAATCTTCAACATGAGATTTTTTGCTTGGTTTTTGGAGAATTTATCATCCATTCATAACTCATCATTCGATTCATCATTTGATACATACAATATCATTCATGCCAATACAGTAACAGAGCAAAGTCTGTTCTATGATTTTGCTAAGATAGCAAGCTTTCAGGTTTTCCGGTTATCAAAATATTTCCGTCTAATAACAATCAACATAACTGCAACGGCATGAAAATAGGTACGGTACATGCTCTTACCACACAAAATCAGACGTTTGCAGCAATGGGATGAACAATAAGGACGAATGTTTACCCTATTTCAGTTCGGTCCAAGCGTTCATGAATAAACAGGAAGGTGTGTGATCGGTGAGAAACAAATTTCTTTCTAAACATTCACTTCTACGTCACACGCACTCCATTGCCTCCTCGGTGTTTTTTTTTCTTGAACGAGGCTGGTGGATTGATGCTCATTTCGCTGGACCGTAGAAGAACGCAAACTGGTATCCATAAACTGTAACGGACCGGTCCACCGATCTATGCCTAACTGTTTCATTCCTTTCCTAACCCATTAACACTTTTAGGATTTATAATGACAATCGCTCGGGTGTTGTCGTGGTGGATGGAATTGATATCATTGTAAACCGACTTTCATTTAACCTCGGTGTAAATGGCCAATCTACTTTGTTTCATTGATAACCTAACGCGAGCTTACTACCAAATATTTACTCGGCTAACGTTTCGAAGTTTGCTCCTTCTTCAGAGCCGACGATCAGAGTCGAAGATTCACTGAAGAAGGTCCGACTCGATACGCCGCTGAGGAAGAGGAAGACATCGAAACTTTAGTCGAATAAATATTCAGCAACAACCTCGTCTTGGCTTATCAGTGAAACACGGTACACTGCGTGGAATAGAGTTCGAGCGAAACAAATGTGACTTCCTTTGCCTAGTGTTGGTGGACATGAAATTTCTTTTGGTTATATGGCTCGAATAAATCCCTACTGCATATGATCCGAGTCGTAACACCGCTATGTCTTTCAGTCATTTATTATTTCTCGTTGAAAGACTGATCCCAAGCAAAATACTGATGGTCGGAAACTGCACTAGCGATGATCACAAAATATCTATGAGCCATTGTATTCTTACATTTTTTAAGGTGTGGGAAAAAACTTGTTCTTACTAAGGCCCACGTCCGTGAGCTAATATTTGCACTTTATAAAACTCTTTACAGAAAACTTTTTTGCTTACCGGAATCAAATATTTTGTGATAGAGTAGAAACGCCTGCTTTTCAACCACGAGTTCCACTCTTTTCTCCATTTTCGAAGAATGTTCTTAAAACTTTATAATCTACAGTGGCAAGGCACTTAAACTCGTCAAAGTCATCACTTCGACACTCAACTTTGTTCTAAAGTTGGTTTCAACTTAACCTAGATGAGTTACCGTACTGCACTGTCCAATTTAGTGGTAAATGGCCTATAGCCAGTACAAGCAGCAGTATACATGTAGTTGTAACAACGACAACGACCAGAAAAAGAACAACAAAACGAAAGATTATGGGCTGTTAAAAATCGAGTAAACAAGAAAGTCACAACAATGGCATCTAACGTTAACAAAATTCGCTCCATCAACAACAGAAACAAGAAGAACCACGAAAAAGTGAAAAGCACCCAGTGTAGAAAGGTTTCGAAAAAAAAACGTAAAAGATATGAATAAAGACTTGTGAAAATCACATAGAGAACCCGATTCTCGTAAAACACGGAATTTTAGACTAGTTCACCTCTATGATCACCGTTGAAGGAAACAAATTAACTGAGTTGTGGAAAATCAACAATTCGCCATTTCTCCACCACCTGAAAGAGGTCTTGATTTGGAACGGAAAAAATATTAACATCAACCTCGAAGATTAACAGAAAGCTATAACATGTCAGGACATTTAAGGTCTTCAAATCTCATACTGTTGCTGAAGTCGTAACCCGAGGAAATATATAGTGAGAGTTTCTAAATTCCCAAGTTATAGGAACATTTACGGAGAATTAGAATCGCCTGTGCTCATAATTGTGGAGCTGCATCAGATTCTAAATTCCCAACCTACTCTGACCAATGCCGCCTATAATTGGATCTAATTCAAGCACGATGACCTCTACGAATATTCTTTCGTGATCAATGAAACGTTTGAACTGTGACCGCAGCTGCTTAGCCGTGAACACGTATTCCACCGCTGAAGATAGTCGTCTTAGTGGCCATCTGCAGTCTTTCGAGAGTCTATTCCGCTGTTTTATTAGTCTATCTAGTCGACTATCCTTATTACTCATGTTTTGTCTTCGATGTGCACTCAAATGAATTGTAACGAAGAGATGTTTTTCGAAGTTCTATGGCTAGAAAACGGTGTCGGTTATGGTTGAAAAAACATCACTCAAGACACTGCTGACAATGAGCAAAATTATCGATGAGGCTGAGATGAGCGAATTTTGGGTTGGTTGGGTTGGTAAGCAGCTTTTCCGAGAGTTATAAAAGTGACCTATACTGCCTTTCTTTCTTTCAGTAGTCCCACTCTATGCCCTTCTCCATATTCATCAAGGTCTTCTGTACACTAACGTGTCGAAAACCCTTTGGCTCAACTAAATGAGTTCCGTGTCGCCATAGAATCGTCTTTGTAAGCAGATTGTAGAACAAACTGAGCAAGAAATTCTGGCAATAGCTGTACAGACTCCTTTAGTTGCCATTGATGGCTAGGACGAACGTGAACGAGACTCTGCAGGGTTGTTCAGAAATAAATAAGCATCTTAACAATACTATTCAAAACATTGTAACTTGTTTCGAATAAAACTTTATTAACCAAAGCAAAAACACGTTTTTGCCAACGAGAAACAGGTTTTTTATTCCAGTTGCACAAAATTCTGGAGTTCTTGAAGCCAAGAATTCGTTGAAGGGATTTTTACGCCATCGTGTTTGGTGAACCATTTCTCAAGGAAGTTGTCAAGGTGCCCTAAGAAGTGATGTTCGGTAGGCGGGAGGTCTGTTGAATGTGGAGGACGAGGCAAAGTTTCGTAGCCCAACTCGTTCAACTTTTGCTGTGTTAGTTCCGCAACGTGAAGCCGGTCGTTGTCGTAGATAAGGATTAGTCTTTTCTGTTAACTAATGCCTGCTGTTGTTACTGGAGTTTACGTTGCATTTCGTTGATTTGTTGGGAATACCTCTTTGTCGCAATCGTTTCGTTCAGATTCAAAAAGCCGTGATGAATCAGGGTTGGGTGCAGACTACCAGGCAGTCACCATAAACTTATTTCTGGCGCAATTTCGGATTTGAGAAGTGTTATGGAGCTTGATCGCAATTCAGCCATTGAGCTGAACGTCACCGGTTCTCGTTCAGAATCCAATTCTCGTCGCACATCACAATTCGATCAAGAAAAGGGTCGCCTTTGTAGCGCAAAACGAGGTCTCGGATGGTGTGGTGGTGAAGTGCGCTACTCTCCGGAAAGGACAATAGCGCGCGTTCGTTTCCCACCGCATACACCTGCGGTACGGAGTTTTGCAAATATCTCAGCTTTTCATACGAGTTATATTTCGCAACATACCCTGCCATTAAAAAGAAAAAGGCAGTGAATAAAAGGGTTGAGATCATGTTAGCATTGTTGTTTCACCAAAGCTACCTCCACCCCAAACTTTATGTTTTGAGCTGTCTTTGCTGCACTACGACCGGGCTTGGTCTCATAAAAGAAAATTTGACGAAAATTCGTTTTTGACATCTAAAATGCCAAAGCTGAAAATTGGCAAAAAGAAACCTAACTTTTGACGAAATATAAAGTTGAAGAAAGCATAAAGCCAGCTTTCTAATGATTTATAATATTGCAAGGTACAAACTACATTTTATTGGTAAAAATACACTAACACAATAGATATTTCAAAACGCTCATTTATTTCTGAACAATCTGGTAGGGAAAATTGCGACGATGCGATGTGTCGTTTAATCGACATTTGTCAATCCGCTCTGGTCTTCTTCAGAATGCAGATATTGGATACTGCTACGAACTAGAGAGTGTGCCATTTTTGGAATTTAGCTAGGTAAGCAAAATATTCTATTGCTCACCTTGTACGAGGGGTAAAAGCCACTGTCGCCTGTTCTTCTGTTGTGGCCTTTGGAAAAGCCATTCCAATGATTTCCAGCAATTCCGACGACATCTCCTATACGTAGCTCGATTTCACCATCTTTTTCCGGATCATGGTTCTCAACCGCTATTACCTCATGAGCTGAAACGGAGCTACTTGCCATGAATTTGATAAACTAACACGTATTTTTCAATGGCTAAAGTTTCGGCTACTTCAATTTCTTTAAAACTTAATGAAGGACGTGTTTTTTAATCATCTTAATCGGTGAACATTTTACAATCTCCACAAAACGACGTCGCACACACTAGAGGCAGAATCCAACGCTGTTTTGATAAGGCAGGGCCTTCGGTTATAAATGAATGCTATTTCCTATTGCAATTGTTTACCACAATCTAATTCGAAAGCTCATGTATGACTGTGGTAAAAGGTACACCAAAATACACATATGGTCTTTCCTCCGACGAAGCCTCCCATCCCTTCAACGTTGACAAAATAGCACCATATTCCCCTGGGAGGATAAAGACACTGAACTGACACATCAACAGAGTATTGTAAAAGATTGTACGGCCGAGATATCTTTTCATATTCATTTTTTATAGATATTCTTTTATCACTTTAGTAATCTGAATGGACTTCCAGTATTTTAATTTATGATTCACATTATATTACTTCCAGGAAGCCAAAAAATAACGCACAAAAAGAAATATTGTTTCTTTGGTGGCACTGTGATTAAATTATGGGGTGTACATTTTCAAGTAAAAACAACGCAAAAACTGGAATATCACCCTTTCATCCTGACTTTTCTCAACTTAACCAGTATTAACCTGACCATGTTGTCCTCCAAAGTAGTAGATGTCATCCAGAGAGTGAAAACGGTCTCCGGCATCTCCTTGTTGCACTTGCATCAGCTCGAAACCCATACGACAAACCTCAACATGAATTAAACTCTTTGTTGCTTCAAACCACTCTTTGTGTAAAAAAAGACTAGGTTTCGTATAAATAAATTTTCAAGAGCTATATATTGCAAATCTCCCAACGGTTTACCTCCTTATCGTGGCTAGGAGGTGTTTCTCGGTATAGGATTGCGATGTACAGCTGAGGATTCATCCCCAGGCAGGGTCTACCAAACAAAGAAGGAGTCCCGAGTTTCCGTCAAAAATCTTGGCTAAGAGTAAACCAGTATCAGAATCCACCACCATTCTGGTAACAAATTCGCATGGTGGCAAATCTCCCTCTAATTCACAGAGGCGGCGACTACCTGTGGTGGTGACGACCTGGGGCAGACTTTCACCAGGCCGACCTTGGAGCTTCAGGAAAACACAATGGCTCAACCAGGAAAACCCCGAAAAATGGAGAATACGCTAGGGCCCGCAGAACCAGTGAGGACGGGCCATTCAAGTATCAAACATATATTGCAAGGATAAAACAGGATTTTGAAGCTATCCACAACTACGTGTCTTTAAAAAACAGTTCTACATATCCCGTAAAAAAAAAGACAATTCATGTTCATATATACATATTGCTGAAAGATCTACCTGGCTAGAAAATGTACAGACAATGTAGTCGCACAGACTAAGAAGACGAACGTCGCGGATCACTCCGTACAGAGAGCTGTCTGTGTAGCGACTTGCCAGCTGAGCCGTTTTCGCTGTCTCTTCGTCACCGTACACTTCGTAATGTGGGAATCTTTCATTGAGTGATTAATCGTCACTGTTAAGTTGAGAAAAATTATGAAAACCTACTTTCGCTTGATATCCAAGAACACTGATGGTTCATCGGTGGCAACGAAAACCCTCCGTGTTATATTTCCATCATAGCGCCTCTCTTGTATCTGCCCATGTAAAAAGTACAGTATGATTAGATTCGACCATTCTCAATTTGAATACGCATTAGATTGTAGTCATAGACTATAGACGGTTGTTAACAAACTATGGATTCGCTTGAGCAGTACTGGCTTGCTACGAAAGTAATTGCAGTTGTAGACCGGCAATATTCAATGGAGCTTTAGCATAAGGTTATTAATCAAAATAAAAACACATTTTCAAACACGCCACAAGTTTCTTTACTTGGATAAACGGAATTTTGAGGTGTATAAGCAATGGCTTCTTCAAAGACGTTTCTGGGACCGACATGGTTGGTGAAGAATCTTCCAAGTAACCGTTGTAGGGAAACCGGACTTAAATTAGTCGGCTGTCGAGAGTTCCGACTTAGTGGATGGGGCAGAATTTCGCAGGCCGATTTGTTCAACTTCTGTATTGATAGTTGAGCAACGCATGGTCAAGCGAGGGAGAACGGAAGGAGGAATTCCTAAACGTGGTGCGACAAATAGCTGTTGGCTACGAACGCCTAGCACCTCTTGATAGGTTTGGAAAAGGGAAAAGCCTCAAAAAGATAAGTCTACTGAAAGCACGATATCTTTTAACCTGTGCTTAATTTCCAACGAAGTAGACGCAGCTGTGAAGCGATGCTTATAAGTTCGTCTAGAAAAATCTTAAACAGTGATTGAAATATCTCTGAACATTCTATAACGTCGCCTAAATAGTAACCAATTTTATGTACGACCCTTCGTTTGTAACAAAACAACTGCAGTTTGTTCTAGCAGGAGAGACGGTGACCGCATGACTTCCAGTACTGTGCATCCGAGTTCTTGAGAAATATGTTGGGACGATTATGTTGGGGAAACGGGCAGGCTCTTTCCAGGCTATGAAGAAGATACTGCCGAAAACGTCAGCTATTGTTGTTGTGTGCGTTTTTTGCACTGAGGTAATACTGTATAACAACCTTGCTATTGCTGAGAAAGAAAAAGACACATCAGTAATCCAATACCGAGGTAAATAGAAAGTTGATGCATAAACTAAATTAGGAGTTAGAAAGTATGCGGAGCTTTTCCAGCACGTTCTAAAACTAGTGAGTACGAGGTTCTGTTATTTCCGATAGAAGGTTTTCAAGTAATTGTATGCTTCCTCTCTTTCTGTTTCTACACATAGAACAAAGACATAGAGCCTACTGTAAGAATACTACAGACTTATTAACCTTGTACCAGATTTCTGCCCATTGAATGTACTCGTCGACATCGTGGAAGGCTGCTTCCGTTCCGATTTTGTCGGTACGGCGAATTTGAAGGCCAACGATAGGACCTGAACTGGTAACTGGCGAAAGATGGAATAAACCAAAAGTGAAAAAAGTTAAATTCAATATAAATGTGTTAAGAAACATCGAACGGACAATACTTACCTTTGCCATAAGGAATCAAGGAGATCGACGTATTCAGCAGTTTTGTCAGATCCTCAGCACTTCTCATCAGATACCACAAGAACTGAAATCATTGTACACTCAGAGTTGAACGTCATCATATTTCGTCAGTTGGATTTAGTTGAACTAGTGTAAGAGCTCACCTGACCAATAAAAAATACTGGTGGATTTGAATGTAATTTCAATAGCTCTTCAGAGATTGGGCGTGGAATTGAAAGAGGTAGAAATTCTGGTCTAAACAAAATTGAGTTAGAGTTAAATCTTGGCAGATTCAATTGCTTGTGCACAAGATTTTGTTGAATCGTTGTTGATCCCCCGGAGAAACAACTTCCCCGGAAACCTAACTGAGATCAAACTTATATCAAGAATCACAGGCTAGCAGACGTCAATAGGATGAAAAAGCCTTAGCTAGGCAGAGACCTTAAAAATAGGAAATCCTTCCCGACCAGCAAATGAACAGGAGAGGGGAATTTTGCTAGCGATGAATCCGGAAATTGTGAAGCCGCCACAACCAAGTATTTCAAGTAGTCGTGAAATTAAGCGCTATAACTATTAATTTAATTGGAATATTCTGACGGGGTTCTTTGTTGAAGTTCTTTTGAAAGAAGAACGTTTTGGGAATGAGATTTAGAAGAGCAAAGCTGAAAGAGACACTTACTTGTCTGGGAAGAAATCAATGATTCCTAGTCGAACAATTCGTGCTTTTGAGGTAATCGAATACTGTTCAACTGTTTCGGACTGAAATTTGATAACTATAAACACGTTTGAGAGCAATATTCAGTAACACCTCTGTTGTGATAAGCAGCTGGGCGTTCTCCGAACGAATGAGAGAAATGTGGATGCAAACTTTATTCAGGACTCTCAGTTTTTCTTATTTCAGGTTGTTCATCACGTAGTAAATCTATTTTTCTCGCTTTCGTCCAAACAGAAGTGTTTAGATCATCATGAGAAGAACCGCTGCGCTTGCCCCAAACGATATCATCAGCTGAATACAGGCCATTACTGGCAGAAATCTGAAATCAACTACATCCGTAAGCAGGAATATGCTTGGTATTATATTGGATGGATGATGAAATCCTACATCCGCTGCCAACATCTTCAGTTTCCTCAGAGGCAATTTTGCCATTTTGCAAAGCAAAGTTTAAAAAACGTAGACCCTCCAGGCTACAAAAAAGTAGCTAAAAATGCTTACCCTTACGACGTCGTCATACTTGCAGTTCGTAATAGGAAGAAAAGTTCCTAACCAGCCTCTTTCGGAATACCTGAACCCGAACAACTATGAATTGACAAAGCAGTTTATGGGGTAACCCTACTTCCTAGTACTACGTTGTTCAAAAACAAATGAGCGTTTTAAAGCACTTATTGTCCTGATGTACTTTTTGCCAATGAAATATTTTTTGTACCATGCAATATTAAGCATTATTGAAAAGCCAATTCAATTCTCCTTCTATGTTTTTATATTTTCTCAAAAGTTAATTTTTTAACAATTTTGAGCTTTGCAAATTTAAATGTCAAAAACTAATTTTTATCAAATTTTCTTTTATGGTTAAAACTCGGTCGCAGTGCAGCAGAGACGGCTCGGAACATTAACGAAGTTTAGGGTGGAGGTAGCGCTGGCGAACCAACAGTGCGAACATGGTTCCGCAAACTCCGATCTGGTTATTTCGACCTCGAAGATAGGGAAGGCCTCGGATGTCTCAATGAACTTGACGACGACGAATTGAAGGCACTAGTAGAAGCAGAAGCGCTTTCAGAACTGTAGAATTCAATTTAGTTAAGGTAAATAAAATTGTTCACTTTTATTTTCCGCCTTCTATAATTTTTATGGCAGGGTATTAAGCGAAACACAACCACAAGATTGCTGAGATATTTGCAAAAATTCGGACCGCAGGTGTCTGCGGTAGGAAACGAACGCGCGCTATTGTCCTTTTCGGGGAGAAGCGCATTCACCACCACACCATGCGGGTCCTACGTTTCAGCTGCCTCTCAGCTAGTTTTATCGAACAGTGCTGTCAGCATTGTGAATTTAACTACAGTCTCAGCTTAATTGGGTTCAATGCCGATGTGGGCTCCCCAGATCAATCCCGTTAACGGGTGATTGCTGATGGCAAAAGATCGATAGAACTTGCTGAGAGAAAAGCGAAACGAACGACCCGCATGGTGTGGTGGTGGTGGACGCGTTAATTCCCGGAAAGGACAATAGCGCCTTCGTTCCCCACCGCAGACAGCTGCGGTCCGGAGTTTTGCAAATATCTCAGCAATCTTGTGGTTAAATAAACTCATTTCTCGTTGGCAAAATTTACAGATCCAAATTCGAAGCAAGTGATGACACTTTAAACAACATAGTTAAGAAATGGAAACGTACAATAGTTTAAATAGTTAGAAACGCTCATTTATTTCTGAACAACCTTATGTTTGTTCATCTCGACAACCGACTTTCTATTAACCCCATCAAATAATTTGCCAATTTTTTGATGGGCAGACAAAAGGTTATTAAAAACGATATTTATTTGGCAAATATTGCCTATGGTTTCGGCAGCTTTGCCTTCTTCAGAGCCCGGAAAAGTCTAATTGGCGCGAAATCTACTTAGTCAAATACTTTCATAACCTCAATAAAAAAAACTTGATACATAGTTTTACAGCTTCGCATAGTAAACTACCTCTCTTAAACACTCACCGTTCTGTTCTTTTCATGTCTTCCATTTGTTTAATGGAGGCAGGAGGCACGGAGTCATAAATGGGTCAAGAATGTGCCTGGATTTGATCAGAAAAAGTCTTTGGTATGGCGCAAAGTCACGCGTAATCACGACTGTTGGAATTTATTCAAAACTCTTTAGGAGGTTTTCGTGCAGACACTTTTTCTGCCGAAGTTATGAAAATGTTTCAAATGTTTCACTGAGTATGCTGCATGCCACTTTAACTTTTCCGAACTCTGAGCAAGGCGAAGCCTCCTAAACATCAATCAGTATTGCGCCGAATAAATCTTGTTCTCAACAACCTGGTATCTGTTTATTAAGAAAACGGTGAACTATTTCTTCATCTATTCGTTCCATTGCAGGCATTATTTCACTTTCCAACGGAAACATACCAGTAAAATAAATGGAAAACTGTAAAATCGTTGCCTATCATCAATTAATGAAATTTTAAGACGTGAGAACGATGGTCCCTCCTAACGGTTTACTGCCTCATCGTGGCTGGGGGGAGGTGTGTTCCTGGGGTGTCGGACTGCAGTGTGCAGCAGGGGATTCATCCCCGCTAAAGGGTCTCCCAAGCTGAGAAGGAGCCCAGCGTTCCCATCAGAAAGCCTAGCTAAGAGTAAACCAGTACCAGGATCCGCCACCGTTTTGGTATCAAAGTCGCATGGTGCAAATCTCCCTCCGATCCACAAGGCGGCGACTGCCTGTGGCGATGAGGACCTGGGGCAAACTTTTATCAGGCTGTCCTCGGGTCTCTATAGAACCAGAATGGCTTAACCAGCAAATCTCTGGAAAATGGAAATTATGCTGGGTCTCGCACAACCAATGAAGACTGGCCATCTAAATATCCAAGCAAGTTGGGAACGATGCACGAATTGTGGACTGTTTCGTTTTTGATAAATCATGATGGATTTCACTGAACTATGACTCTTGTTCTTCCAATTTACTTTTCCATTCCAGTGGATACTATAACAGAAAGTTGAGACATGAGTAAGGCTCATGGCGAACTCAACACGGTTCAAAAATTTCTCTTATCTGATTATTATAGGTAAAAGCGAAAGCGTAGAAAACGCCCTTCGTCAATATGTAACTCTACAAAACCAAGCAAATGGCAAATAACGTTATCATCGGCTCACCTCCATCCGTTACCGTCTCCGTCGAAGACCATTGTTCTTTGTGAGCCGAATGCCGTCATGAAGCAGAATGCAACGTGATGCATCTCGCATCCGAAGCCACACGACTTATCCAGGTTGCAGAGGAGGATTCTAAGAGAAAAAATTCCACAGAACTCCGACGCAAAACCGGACAAGGAAAAAGGAAGAGAGAGCAGACGAATAAATTTCGTTGTCGGATGAGGCAAGAAATCGGAGATACTAGAGTGAATCGTTCAAATGGAGCTATTACTCTTAATTTTACCACTAGCTAATGAAATATGACTAGAACCGGGTGACATCCATTTATCTCAAGTTTACCTACCTGTTTTTGCTATACGAGTTTTCTCGAATGCATCGGTGTGACAATGCATTGGTGATATCGTAAAGAAAAAATTCATGAAGATCTCACTATGAGCACACTGATTACGCTGGTCTAATTAATTAAGAACATCGTTATCTAGACGATCAAACGATGAGACTCTCGAAACAATGTGACTTAGGCTTTATAACTTCGCCAAAATTATCCCACCTTGCCTTCCTGCAGTCTTCAGGATGTTGCATTTCATGGATTTTTCCCTGAATAAAATCAGTCAAGGACTTCAAGGACTTCTGTCGCCACAAATCTGCGCCGTCCACTTCGGACATATTCGATGCTGTTGCCAACAGGGACAGCATCTGCAAAAAAGCTGATCCGATTTCTACGACTTAGATTCATGACAAAATATGGCTGCAAAATTGTACTCCGTCAAGACAGATTAACGTGTAGAGCTTTATTCAAGTGCATTGACTGACCATAATTAGAGATTGGAATTTGGGACAGTTTTGTCAAAATCATGTGTCAAACGGAAAATTGGTTAAAATTGACACTCGCAAGAATCAGTTAGGATTTCATGCATTACCTCCAACGCACCTGTTCCTCTATGTGCTTTTTATCAAAACCTTCCTTAGACGGGTCAGAATTCTGCACATGAAGATAGTAGAACACCTGAAATGGACGAAAATTGAGGCACCGAAACAAAAATTAAACAGATAAAAACAGGAACTCAAGCCGAAGTTTCCAAGAGCGACTTCACACCGAGCTCGGCATTGGTCAACAATTCTGTGTTTTCTTTATAAGCACACACGAGACCATTATTCACAAAAGCCCAAGCTTCGGCAGATTTTGTCTTCTTCATAGCATAGAAAGGTGAAGTTGATTGCAATCTAGTAGGCGAGTACCTCCATAACCCCAACAGAAAGGTCGAGAAGCGTAGGTTTCAACCACATTGTAAACAATGTAGCTTCTTCGCACACTCAACGCTTTCTATGATCCACTACCCATTGCGATAGAGCAATTTGGCTTCGTATAAAAGAACACCTGGTCGGTAAATTTCACGTCGAACTGAGTACACCACTAGACGCCCATAGGACACAGACATAATGGAGAAAATTTTGAAGTGAAAGCTGCAATTCTCATACAGCAACCGAAAACCTCAGCATGTAAAAATCACGGGACATAGAGGATAAATTCCAAGAATTCAAAAGTGAACTGCAGGGAAGAATGCCACAAACATCACACAAGATTTCACACAATATTCAAGAATTATATTTTAACGTGAGAGGGGGTCGGAACCCATCTATGTGAAACCTGTAAGGTTGATCTCTGGGTGGAATACTCAGTGCAAGAATCACAGAAGGTGATTAGTGTGCGAAGAAGCTATTTCCTTTTCAGTGCGATGGAACTCATGGTTTCGCTCTTTTGTATTTTGGTCACGGAGGTGTCTGGTTAACTCGGTTGCAGTTAACTTCTTGTGAATGAAGACCTCGTGTGTGCTCCTCAACAAAAAACAAGGAATTCTTCACTCAAGCATTCAAATAACACGATAAATATAAGGATAAATCATCAGCAAACTCTATTAATAAGCAGAAACGTGCGAGGTATTGTAAGAGAAAATTGCAAATATCAATGTCTACTGCTTTGACCTGTTTGCGAATTTTTGCTTAGTCAATCCGTTTTTAGATGCGCTTAAAGTAACTGATAGCAGAGGAATGACTTAAAAAAAGGGAATGGAATTAGGAAGTTGTGGAAGGACTCGAGAGTTCAACACAAGGAGAGCAAACCTCCCAAATTCTGCTCTCCAGCAATCGTCGATAGACCTCGTGCTGGAAGGAGTACAAATCAGTACTTCTGTCAGTTGTTTCGCTAAGGTCCTTCCTACGTGCCATATTTTCTATGTATTTGTCGTTCACTGATGGATTCTCCCTTTAATGAGACGATCGAATTTACAAAAAGTTCAGCTTGCTAATCATGTGGTTGTTACTATTAATGTGCAAATGTAGTCAACAAAGAGCCACTCATTTTACCTTAAAAACGGTGCTCAGTACGAATAATAACTTTACGGTAGTGAATGTTACCCGGGCCTCCTGGCAGCTTCGGGCTGCTCGGCGTCCGGACGGTCCCGCCGCTGGACTTCAAGCATCTGCTGGAGGGCCCTGTTCTCCTTGCGCAGCTCCCTGAGCAACTGCATGGCCTCGTCCAGCTGAGCGACCGCTTCTTCTCTCTCGTATCCTGCAATATCACCATTGGATATACCGCACGAGAGTTGTGTTGCAGTTCTGGTATGTTCATCAACGCATCTCTCACAATTACAGAATTCACCAAACAACTCATTCATTAGCCCGTGACGATTACGTTTTCACTTCTGCTGTTGGTTAAATTAGTTCAGAAAAGTCTTTTTCAATGCTATCTCCTCCTAAACATGTCCTAGAAAATTTGAGAGCAGTTTTTAGTTTCTAACCTGTTCGTTCCTACTTTCACATAGCTATTCATCCACTCCAGTTTATTCTCATACCTTTTTCTCCGTTACGTGTATTTCTGCATTACGCACAGTCGTGAAAAAGCCTTTCATTGTATTATCGACTGATCGCTCTACTCTGATTTTTTCGATTTTCTCAATATCACGTAATCGTTAATTTGTTGCTTTTTGTACCTGCACCAAAGTTTATTTATTTCATTTTACTTCATTTTATGTAATCCGTCTTCACGTCTACTGTGCTGATTCTAGAGCATCCCACATTCAGTTCGTTTCCTCGCTTCCACCATCCACGCAGATCTTCCTACTTTTACGCGTGGTTTCCGTTGCTGCTTGACGATATCCATTTCATCCTGAATGTCGCAGAATGCTGGTAGAGAAATTCACCCTGGAGTCCTGAGATAGCTGGGCCGAAGCGTTCACAATTGGATTACAGAGTGATTTTTTCCCAGACAAGTCCGGTACCAATTTCTCGACCGCCGAGGGATGAGAGGTTTGCTTGGCTCGGAGCGGAATAGAACTAGCACCGTGGTCGTGATGATTAACGTCACTACCACTATGCTATTCGCCTCTTGCACCAAAGTTAAACAATAAAATAAGATGAGCCATAAATTACAAAGTAACGAATGGATGATCCCATTAGCTATCAGAAATGATTGCAGAGAGTTTTGTATGTATGTCGGTATTCATTCCTTTCTAAGTTTAAATTATAATCCTTCTACTAGCTACATATTATTTCGTTACAAGCAGTTCTAGTGTCAAGTAAATGCTGTTGCTTTGCTCTCAATCCTACCGAGTTATAATAAACTGAAATCCCTTTGTTTCCTATAAGGAATAGATGAAAGTCAAGAATTCAGATGGTAGACGTAGTTTGAAGCAAATCAATCCACTGATGGATTACCTTTTCCTTGAAGTCCGAACAACTGTGCCGTCAAGTAATAGAGCATAAGAATCCATAGTAATATAGCCACGATCGCCGCGCTCCTCACGGAAAACATGCAATGAACGGCCTGAAAGCGTGGAGGCTTGCGCCAGCAGGGAAAGAACTGAAGGTCCGGTAACAACGAAGTGATAGTGAACTGCGGAGCACAGCTCCTATTACAGGCTCACTTTTTTGAGCACATAGCAATCCGCACAAAAATGAAAGATATGCAAAATTTGATTTTATCCAATATTCTGTGACATCATAGATCCACAATATCGAAGTGTATTTAATAGCTCACGATTAGAAACGTGATAGTTTCCTTGACTATAGAGCTATCGCGAAGATAATTCAATTCTTTATTTCGTGTAACTCGAGAGACCGACTTTCTATAAACCTCGGCATAATAATTGATATCTGCGTATATGTTCTTACGAACTGCCCTTTTTTAGCCGACGCTAGGTTGGTATAGACGTTCTTATTGTTCTTGTTGTCTTTGTTCAATGACTGACGCTTCGCCGACTTCGCCTTCCTTAGAGCCTTCCCGTTGAACCACGCGTGTGTTGTTCACAAGGGACGATGAGTGAGTCACCCCTGAACAACACACGGGTAATCCAACCGCAAGGCTCTGAGGAAGGTGAAGTCGTCGAAACGTCAGCCATTGATCAAAGACAACAACAACAGCAAGAACATCTATACCAACCTCGTGTCGACTAAAGATCTTGTGAATTCATCTTGTGAATTCTTGGATGAGTTTAGCTCACCATGACGAAGTACTACAATAGAATATACCGTAGCTGAAACTACACATTTCGAGGTGCAATCTCAAATCCTTGCATGGTCACTCAGTTGGCTCTACCGTATTACCAAACCAATCTTTCTCCCAATAAAAATGATTTCTTTTCTCCAAAATTTCCTTCTAACTACCCTACATCGTGGATGTATGTGTGTGTGCATGGATACGATGTGTATGTGTGCGGATGTGTGTGCAAGAGCCGGTGAATCTCTGTGTGTGTGTGTGTGTGTGTGTGTGTGTGTGTGTGTGTGCGTCGGCATGTGTTGGCTTGTCTGGGTCGATGTGCGTGTTCAACGAACAGTAGTTGTACTGTATGAACTGTGGTTGTATTTTTTGTGGTTTCGTAATGTTTCCGCTGTAGATGCTATTCAAATACATAATAATTATCTTTGACGTCCACAGAATGAAATGCGTATTATTGACTAAAATGAGGAATGGAGAGCAATGCATGAATGAAGCGTAGCAGATGTTTCGGAAGAAACCCGCCTGAACGAACAATCGTAGAAGAAAGATTTTCAAGAGCGACATATATGATTCCAAATTTAGACTAAATATTCTATCCTATAGCAGGTGACCTTCTAGGCTTCCTTCCACAACAATGAGGATCTCGTGATCAACGTGATATTCAAGTCAAGTAAGTCGTTGTGGAGATTCAAGATGGTGAAAGCCTATGCGTTTCTGGAGACTGAGGACTTACGATGATAAAAAAAAGGATTCCTTAATGGCATGCTATCATGGAACAAAATGTGTGCGAAATTTTGCACCCTATATAGAAGGTCATTTTTCCAAATGTGAATAAGAAGTAGTAGTAGAGGAAGAAAAAGAAAAAGAGACAGAGAAAGCGGAGTGACTAGTGATACACTACATCAGGATGGAAGGTGCTGCCTTGGCCACAACCTCAATGCTCTCCAGTCCATCTGAGAACGCCTTAACTTGGCTATCCCCGAAAGTGAAAAGAGGTTCCCCTCGACCAACTCCTACGACATTCATAAAGAGGATGAACTCTTTAAGAAGCATCCGAATCAGCATGCGAAGTGCTCGACTACCTTTATAGAAAATAAATGCGAGTGGAACGAAAGCAACAAGTGCTGAGACCATCACAGTAGGTGCGGTGACGGGTCGTGTAATTAATAATCATTTCGATGTTCAGCAACATATGAGCTTGCCTTGCAATAAT